AACATATAGTTGGGTCTTCTTTTTTTATCCATTCAGCCACTCTATATCTTTTTATTGGCAAATTTAATCCATTTACATTCAAGGTTATTATTGATAGGAAAGGACTTACTCCTACCATTTTGTTGTTTTCTGGTTGTTTTGTAGATCCTTTGTTTATTTCTTCCTCTCTTGTTGTTTACTTCTGTGGTTTGGTGGTCTTCTGTGGTGGTAAGCTTTGTTTCCTTTCTCTTTCTTGTTTGTGTATCTGTTGTAATTTCTTTCTCTGTGGTTGCCATCGGAATAACATAAAGAGTTTTGTGGTTATAATAGACTATTTTAAGCTGATAATAGCTTAACTTTTGTCACATAAAAACATTCTAGACTTTTTCCCCCTCCCCCACAATTTACATTTGTTGCCTTAATTTACATCTTTATCTGTTGTGTGTTACTTAGCTACTAATTGTAGCTACTGTTGTTTTTGACTGTTTTGATTTTGAACCTTCCTACTAGAGGATTGATAGATTTACATAGCACCATTACAGCACTGGAGTATTCTGAGTATGATTATGAATTTATCTATACTGGTGAGTTTTATACTTTTACGCGTTTTTATGATAGTAATTATCATCCTTTTGTTTCCAGTTGTAGCACTGCCTTAAACATTTCTTGTAACACTGGCCTAGTGGTGATATACTCCTTTAGCTTTTGCTTGTCTGGGAAGGTCTTCCTTTCTCCTTCATTTCTGAAGGACAGCTTTGCTGGCTATAGTATTCTTGGCCAACAGTTTTTTTTGTTTGTTTGTTTGTTTGTTTGTTTTTCTTTCAGCACTTTGACTATATCATCCCATTCTCTCCTGGCCTACAAAATTGCTGGTAAGAAATCTGCTAATAGTCTATCGGAGATTCCCTTCTATGTGACTTGACATTTTTCTCTTGGAGCTTTTGGAATTCTCTCTTTGTCTTTTGATTATAGAGTGCCTCAAAGAAGATCTTTTTGAGTTGAATCTAGTTGAGGACCTTTGAGCTTCCTAGATCTGGATGTCCATATCATTCCCAAGACTTGGGAAATTTTCAGCTATTATTTCAATAAATAAGTTTTCTTTGTCCATTTATTCTGCCTCCCCCACTATTATAATGTGAAAATTTGTTAGTTTAATGGTGTCCCATAGGTTCTGTAGGCTTTCTTGATTTCTTCTTATTGTTATTTCTTTTTATTCCTCTGACTGGGTTATTTCAAAAGACCTTTCTTCAAGTTCAGAAAGTCTTTCTTCTCCTTGATCTAGTCTATTGTCTAAGTTCTCAGTTTTATTTTTTATCTCATGCATTGAATTATTCAGTTCCAAAATTTGTTTGGTTCTTTTTTATGGTATCTATCTCTTTGTTGATGTTCTCATTCAGATCATGAATTGTTTTTCTGATTTTGTTGAATTATTTGTATTTTTTTTCTTGTATCTCACTGAGTTTCCTTAAGATCATTATTTCATTTTCAATCCCTTTTCAGGCATTTCATAAATATCCTTTTCTTTGAGGTCTGTTACTGGAGACTTATTTTGTTACTTTGAGGGTGTCACGTTTCCTTGTTTTTTCATGTTTCCTGTGTCCCTACATTGATACCTGCACATCTAGTGGAACAGTTACTTTTTCTAATTTTATGGAATAGCTTTCATAGGGAAAGGCTTTTTCCTGTGGATGGGTCCTAGGCTGTTAGCTGGGAATGGTACGTTGGCTTTGTTTCTGGATGTACTCAGTAGCATGGGCTCCATACAGTCTTCAGCTATAATCTTCATCACTTACGTTTGCAGTTACCTCAGTGGCCTAGTCTGGGTGATGAAGGTGGTATGGTTTTGCTGGAGGCGGAGGTGCCAGGTCGTTTCTTGGGCAAGGAACACATGAGCACGACTATGTGTTGGTCTCTCTGGGGGTAGAGGGGTGCTGCCGCACTGGCTGTCAACCTAGGCATGGGCACATGTGGGCCAGACAACTATAGTGCTCTCTCTGGGGAAGCAGAGCTGCCACTAGGTTATAAAACTTTTTTAGCACTTTTTGACTTTTTGACATGACACTCAAAATGTTCATTGGAGCATTACACATTTTGGATTTTCAGATTAGGGATGTTCAGCTGGTAAGTATAATACAAATATTCCAAAATCCAAAAAAAATCCAAAATCCAAATCACTTCTGGTCTTAAGCATTTCAGGTAAGGGATACTCAACCCATAATTGAGACTGGGTGATAAGTACTTGAGGATCAATTTACTTTTCTCTGTATGTGTTTGAAATTTTCCATGATAAAACATTTTTTTACCCTTTCTTATTACATGCTATAAATATTTTCCAATTTTTCATTGGCCTTTTAACTTTAATATTTTTAATTTCAAAGAAAGAAAGCACAAAACTTTTCAAAACAGTGATCTATATATCCCCTTGTCTGTACTCTCTCAAACCCCTTATAGGCAAACTTGTACCTTGCTATGCCACTACAACAGCTCATATCAAGGTCATCAGTGGCCTCCATGTTGCTGTGTCCTGTGGGCAGTTTTTCCTGTTCATCTTACCTGCTCTATCAGCAGCATTCAAGATAGTTAATGACTCTATTTTGTGAAATACTTTTGTCACTTGGCTCCAGAAGACTACAACTCTTCAGGTTTTCCTTCCACCCCACTAGTGTACCCCTTCTCAGTTTGCCATTGCCACCTTTTCTCTCTACCTTTTGAGCATTCATTCTGCTTCCCAGTTCTGACACTGGACCTAGTTTTAGAACTCCATACTTAAACTGGACCTCACCCCAGAACTTCCACCTGTCATTTGATTGTCTAATTAGTTGTTCCAACTGAGAACACATCTACCGCAGAACTCCTGTTCTTCCTGAAACACACTCCACTCACATTTTTCTCTTCTTCAGTTAATGGCAGCTCCATTTTTCTACTTGCCAAATACCTTGAAGTCATCCTTGATTTTTCTTTCTTTACTCCATGTCCAGTTTTGCAGGAAATTGTTTTGGTTCTATCATTAAAATGTATCTAGGATCTCACCATATCTCATTTCCTCCACCACTACCATCCTGTCAAACCCATCGTCATCTCTCATCTGGAGTATTTCAGCGTCTTCCTTCCTGATCTCCCTCCTTACAGCCTTTCATTTCCCAGAGTCTGTTCTTACAAAGAAGCTGAGTGATTCTTAAAAATGTAAGTGAGATTAGTCACTCCTATACTCAACAGTCCTCCTGTGGTTTCCCAGAGTAAGAGCTGAAGCCTTGAATGACTTCACAAGGGCCTATGTAATCTGGCCCTCTGGTGCTGTTTTCGTTTTGTTTTCACACCTCCAACTGTTTCCCTCTCTCAGTCACTCTATTCCAGTCACTGGCCTCCTTGCTGCTTTTGATCTGATAAATGCATCCCCCATCCTTGCTGTTTTTGAAACAAAGCCTTTAAGCTGGCTGTTTCCCCTACTTAGAACACAGTTAAGTTGAATACTCCATGTTTGTTTTTCTTATGTAATGAAAGCCTTTAAGACTGCAGTTTTCTTTGAATACGGCTTTGGTCCCATTCCCCATATTTTATTAATAATGCATTGTGTTCTCCTCTCAATCATTTTCCAAACAATCTATAATTGTACTTTATAGCCTTCTTTAATTTTATTTTTAATCATATAAGTGAGCATAGATTTATTCTCACTTTTTAAACTCCCCTCTTGGTTACACCCTGTTCTAGACCATTCTCCAGAAGTCACTGTTGCAGTCAGGTGATATATTCTCGTCCACCTGAGTAGCCCACGTGTCCTTTCAGACCTTTGCTGTGCTCCTACCAGAATGTGCCTGAGAGTATACATATAGAAATGAAAAGCTTGATTTGTTTGTGTGGTTTCTTTTAAATCATAAATGAGATCAGGCTACGTGTATTGTACTAGAACTTTACATTTCACTTGAAATAGTTTAAAGATCTTTTAAGACCAGTACATTTAAATCTGTTTTATTCTTTGAACTGCTTTAAGAGATTTCCTGGTTTTTTAAAACATTCCCCCATTAATGGCTATTTTGTTTGCCATTTTTCTCTTTTTACAAACAGTGCGGCAGTGACTATCCTTATTTTTGCTCCTTTTTGCTCTAGTGTAGTAGAAATTAATTTTTTTTTTTTTTTTAAGACATTGTCCCATTCTGTCACCCCAGCTAGAGGGCAGTGGCCTGCCTCATAGCTCACTGCAACCTCAAACTCCTGGGCTCAAGCAATCCTCCTGCCTCAGCCTCCCAAGTAACTGGGACTACAGGTATGCACCACCATGTCCGGCCAATTTTTTTCTATTTTTAGTAGAGACAGGCTCTTGCTCTTGCTCTTGCTCTTGCTCAGGCTGGTCTCAAAGTCCTGAGCTCAAGTGATCCTCCTGCCTTGGCCTCCCAGAGTGCTAGGATTGCAGGCGTGAGCCACTGCACCCAGAGAAATTAAATTTTATTTACTTTTTGCCCAAGATTTATTTAAGAATGTTTTTCCCTCAAAAAGGTGGTTGTTTTAATTACTATTTTTGTTTCATTTAAATTTTTGTTAATATTGTCTCATTTTTGCATTGTGACATGAGATCACAGCTTGCACAGATCTTTGGTGTGAGTTCTTCTATGATCAGTTGTGTTTGATGAATGCTAAATAAAGGCTAATTTCCTTTTATAGGATTCAGAGTTTAATGCATGTGTATGAAATCAGCCTGATTAATCATATTTGGTTAAATACACACCATTAATCCTCATAGGAAGGAAGTCATGGTTCAGACCCGAAAGTCAGTGAATGAAACTTTGAACTAAGTCCTGGCTGCAAACACTACAAACTGTTGTGTTTTTTTTTCCCCTCCTGAATTGGCCCTACTCAGCTTTTACAAAGGAAAGCTGACTTGCGTATCATTTTCTTAACTGTATATCTTTATTCAACAATTATTAAATATAGTCAGACTTAAATAAGTCCAGAGTCCAAAAAGAGTATTTCTTCTAGAACTGTAACTCAGAAATGGAAAACTAACATTGGACATAATTTCTTTACAGTGTTTAAAGATAATGCTGGAGAAATCTGGCCTGCCAGGTAAGCTATTTACCACAAAGATATAATCTTATCTGCAGCTTTTACTTAAAATTAATTATCTATAAGTCTAATGAAAACTTTTCAAATTGTTTCCCCTCCAGGAATGTGGGGAAAACTTTTTACAGGATTGTGGAGGGAAAAAAGTAATGAATATTTCTGTATATACATAGTATACATAATGAATTCTCCTGGTTCTCATTTCAAGCTCTGAGTGAAGAGAACCTAGATAGGGTGCAGCAAAGGTACAAAATAAATAAAGCGAAGATTTATACCACTTGGAATCACTCAGGTCTTTCACTCATTTATTTTTTGAATCTCACTATTCAGAATTTCATTGCATTAGGAATGTAATATGAATGAAAAAAATAAATCCAAGATAACTTGAAGTTGCTGTCTGGGTGGGATCAGGTCAGTGAGCTGGATGAGGCACCATTCTGCTTTCAGTAGAATACTGTGCTGTTCTCAGACTTCATGACAGTAGAAGCCCATGGCTTTGTTCTCTGGAAAGGAAGTTAACATGCTCTGGGTACAAGGCGTTCTTCTAGAAGTGTACATGCAGTGTCTCATTTAATCTTGACAGCAGTCCCACCATGCAGGGGTTACCACCCATTCCCATCTTACAGACAAAGAAGCAAGGGCTGAGAAAGGTTAAATGGCTTCCCCAGAGTTACATGGCAAGTAGCTAGGTCTCTCTGCTTTCAGAACCTGAGTTCTTTCCACCCTGCTATGCTATCCATGTAATAGTGTTCACTTTTAACTTCTTGGTGATTTTTTTAAGGTACTTAAATTAAATTTAAAAATTGATATAAATATTGCTGTACTTAAAACTAGAACTAATGACAAAGCGGGTCTGCAAAAAAGCGTAGTTGCATTCACAAACTGTGGCCTGTGAACATAAATATAAGACCTATGTTTATTCCTATCAGATGTTTTTGGTAGGTGGGGGAAGTTTTTGGTAGGTGGGGGAAGTTTTTGGTTTATAAACATTGCTATTATTTTTAATAACTAAGATTTCTAACTTTTGCTAGGGTTTGATATTCATTTATCTAGAAGAGCCATCCCTGACAAACTCTTCAAACATATTCTGATTTTATTTTCATCTT